GAAGCCCCCCAGCCACCGCCATGCCGGCTCCCCGGGGAGCCGCGGGGACGAGTCCGCGGGCTCCGCTGGCAGCCAGCCACCCTGAAGTGAATCCGGTCCTGGGCCCCAGGGATCCGAGGCCCCAGGGGCGCCCAACCCCTAGACAGGAGTCCCAGCAAGGCCCCGGCTGGCCGGGGACCACGGAGAGGCCGCCAGGAATGAGCCAGCAGCCACCCGGGCATCCACCCCAGACCCCGAGCTCCACCAGTGCACCGGCGAGCCCCGACGCCAGCCAGCGGAGGGAGAGCAGGACGGGGGAATGGGCTCCGCACTTAGCCAAGGAGAGGAAAAAAAAAAAAAAAAAACACTCACAATCTCAATCACGCCTTCCCTCCCTAGTGCCCCCACTCACACCACAGAAGAAGGGGAAAAAAAAAACGAGGACACACATTCACACATAACTCTCACATTCAATAATACCAGGACCAATGACCCGGCGGCACCGGTGGTTGGTCCCGGGATTATCGGATGACCCAATAAGTGAAGCTAAAATAGGGATGGGGGGAAGGGCAGCGATGACACCACCACACCAACCCATCTCTTTCGTGCATCGAGCCCGGCTCCCCACCCCGCACACGGACCGGACCACCCCNTAAAACTGGGAGTACCAAGAGGGGGTGTCCAGCACAGTCCACCCCCCCTCCGGGAGGTAGGCGGTGCCAGCGCACCCCCCCATTCGAAAACCCTGAACCCTCAGTGTCTAGATGCGAGAGGGGATGGAGGAAGCCGACCGTGGTGAGGCCCATAATATAAGCCCCCCCCCCACAAAATGCCCTACATAGATGTGTGTTGTGAAAATGTTGCAGATGGAAGTGTCTAAAATGCAAAATAAAATTCGGGTGGGGGACGTCATCAGAAGGAGGGACCCTCCAGTAACGACCCCCTCCCCAAAAACCTACATGTGTGGCAGTGTGATGGAGCAGGCAAAAGGAGGATTTCAGGAATGGGGAGCAAAGGACTGGGGTGCTCCCAGCTCCCCCGCTGACTCCAATAGGCACCCCCGTTCCCCGAGAGCCCCTCCGGAGAGGGGGGCCCCACCAGTTTCACCACCGTAGCCCGGGGGCCAGGTACCGGCAGCACCCATCAGCCAGCCACCCCCCATCCTGTCCATCCACAAAAAAAAAAAAAAAAATTATAATAATAATTAAAATGAATAAATAAGGGGGAGGGAGACAACCCCGGCCGGTCAGCCCATGCGCAACACGCAGAGCCCCCACCCCGGACGAAGCCCCACCAGGGGACGGCACGGACCAGGACCGAGACAGGGAGCCAGACCTGAAGCCCTTCTAAAGTCTTCTTCCCTCTATCACCACCCCCCCCTCCGGAGATCTAATCCCTCCCCTACATTAACATTAAAACTACTCACCACACAAGCGACAAAATACATCCAGGCCGAGATCTTTCCCACTCCCTCCCCTTCCCCCACTAGCAGAGTGCAAACCCCTGAAGAGGTAAGCATCTGCCAGAGGTGTTAATGTCCATGCCCCCCCCCCCATGCCGCGGCAGGGCAGGACAGTGGGCGTACACCGGCCCAGACCCCAAGCAGCACCCCCCACAGAAACCGAACCCCTGAATCCCCACTGGGGCCCCCTCCTGAGGGCAACACGTCCCA